CCAGGAGGAGGTCCAGCGGCTGGTAAGTGACAGCGCAGGGGCAGCCGGACATAGATGGAGCCATGCACCTGGCCATGTGGCTATGTGGCACATGGAGGCAGACAGTGTTGAGGCTGACCTGGGCCAAGTGGTGGTTACTGCGGCTGCAAAGCCCAGTGAGCATGACAGAAAACAGAAGCCTATAGTGCTGGCTGTCGCTGCCAGGGCATGGGTGTACAACAGCCATTGCATGCTGGGCACAGGCTCTGCAGACACTAATCACAGAGGGCTATGCCAGACGGCTGCAGACTGTTCTGGGCCAGAAAAGCATGTGGCCAGTGAACAATGTATGGGGCTGCCTTTTTTAAAAGTGCCCCTGCACCTGGACAGCTGCAGCCAAAGTCTGCAGCTCCCCCTGGCTGCTGCAGGGAGGCAGAACAGGGCAGGAAGAGGCCTGGATCGCCTACTCCCATAAGAAGCAAATCTGTTCTCAAGAAGCTGCACGTGTAGATGCCTTCCCAGGGCATGCTTACTGCATAGTAAACCTAATGCACCTCAATAGCGCATGTAGACATACCCAGAGTGTAAACATTCCACTACTGCAGGAGTGTCCAAGTCACCTGCACTGACAGGCCCAGACACAGATCTTAGAGATCCTTGCATGCCAGATCTGGACTGCAGAGTGCCCAAGCCAGATCTGGATCCAGCTGTGGTGGCAGGGCAAGCAGCATCATGAGTATTAATGCAGCCCTCCACCCCCAGTACACATCCCCAGTGGGGCTCAGTAGCTGGGAATTCAGCAGCAGGCCCTGACCACACTCACCCCACCCTCAAATTCCCAGCCCCTCTGGGAAAGGGCTTCAAAGGCCAAATCTGGCCCACAGGCATATAGATGACACCTCTGCTCTACTGCACTGTCATTCTACCTCCATATAAACTCCTTTATACATTTCTTTGCTCATTCCCACAAATGGGCAAGGCAGAGCTTAAAGCAAAGCAGAGGGTATTTTGCTGGAGGGAATGGATGTCCTTGCAAAGGTCTAGATCTGCAACAGAAGTACGTTTTGCTTTCGTAAGTCATCATGTGCTACTGCAGACATTTGCATTCTCAAGCCTAAGATAAACAGAATCATTAGGCAGATGTAAAAGGTCTACACTTACTTGTAAACAGCACGGACATATTCTGAATCCTTATTGTTCTGTGCACCAATATTCTTGCCCATTGCAGTTTCTAGGAGAAGCAAAAAGTAAGATATATATGTGTGGAGTCATAAGTAAACTGACATCATACATTCATCTATTGCTTGCAGGGGTGTAGGTTGTAGCTGTGTTGGTCTAAGAACACAGGCAGACAAGATTATTTGGGTAAATCCATTATCATTTATTAGACCAACTCAAATACTTGGAAATATTATTACTTGCAGAGATGCAGGGGGGAAGGGAATGAATGTAGCTGTAGTCAATGGATGAGAGTCAGGGTTCCCCCAAACCTCTCTCACCTACTGACAACCTCAATCTATATTTTAACTGACTGGCTTTCTTGCATACCTACTGGCCTCTGGCTGATTTACTACTCCATCTAGGAAGAGCACAGATCATCTGCAGATGCTTCCTCAGTTTAATGAATGGTATTTGTACTCAAAAACTTGCAAATATTTATGTATGGCTTTCTTTTTTAGAAGGTATGTTCTTCTGAACCTAATCCTAATACTCCATTTCCTTTAGATCTCCCTTGTTTTGGGCTCTTTTTCCACTTGCCACCCATGAACTTAGGGTTCATAAGACATAATTGATTAGTCAGATAAATATATGGATACATAAATCAGCCCATTCAATTAAGATAATATGGAAATTCCACAAATTCCATCAGCATTGGACTGAGCAAAAATCATTGGCCTACGCAAGACTGGCAAAGACCTACAATCAGCAACAATTTACCAACCAGTCTCCCTCCCAAGTGTTTGCTATAAGAAACTTGAGAGACTAGCTCTGCAACATATTTCTCCAGTAACTGATTCTGCTCTAAGCCCAGACCAAGCAGGATTTTGCCATGGCTGGAGCACTTGCAATCAAGTTCTAGCCCTAACCACCTTCATTGGAAATGGCTGTCAGAAAAACCTGAAGATTGGTGTTGTCTTCCTCAATTTAACAGCAACATATGACACTATCTGGCATACTGGTCTTCTTGCAAAAATATCAGGAATTCTGCCTCATTGGGCCACCTGCTTAGTCATAGATTTCATAGATTTCATAGACATCAGGGCTGGAAGGGACCTCAGAAGATCATCGAGTCCAGCCCCCCGCCCAAAGGGCAGGAAGTCAGCTGGGGTCATAGGATCCCAGCAAGATAAGCATCCAGTTTCATCTTGAAGGTGTTCAATGAAGGCGCTTGAACCACCTCCGGTGGCAGGCTGTTCCAGACCTTGGGGGCTCGGACAGTAAAGAAGTTCTTCCTTATGTCCAGCCTGAAACGATCTTGAAGTAGTTTGTGACCATTCGACCTCGTCATCCCTTGGGGCGCTCTGGTGAACAAACGTTCCCCCAGATACTGGTGGTCACCCCTGATAAACTTGTAGGTGGCCATCAGATCACCCCTGAGCCTGCGCTTTTTCAGGCTAAAGAGCCCCAGGGCTCTCAGCCTGTCATCGTAGGGTCTGCTTCCCTGACCTCTGATCATGCGCGTGGCTCTTCTCTGGACTCTCTCAAGCTTCTCCACATCCTTTTTGAATTGTGGAGCCCAAAACTGGACACAGTACTCCAGCTGCGGCCTCACTAAGGCCGAGTACAGGGGGAGAATGACGTCCCGGGATTTGCTTGAGAGCAAAAATAAAAATGTTTGTGCACTCCCTGCTCCTCCATTGCAGAAATCTATTTTAATCCGTTTTTAAAAACACACTTATTCTCTAAAGCAATTGGCTCCAAAATGTGGTACCTCTACTTTTGCTATTTACACACTCTCCTTTTTCATCCCTAAAGCTATTTCTTTCGGATTTGGGGGTTCCCAGTTCCTGTCATCTTGCTTTAGTTCAATCTATTCTAGATGGAGCTTTACCTGACGATTGCCTAAAAACGAGGCGCTGAACGCCGCTGCTTAGCGGCGTTCCTGTCAGAGAGTGCATTTTGCACGGGTTCTGTGATTTGGATTGACATACCACTTGTTTCTGTATAAATATGAACTCGCCATTTTCTCAACCTCCTGAAACCCTCAATATTTTGGATCTTGGAAATGGCCCGTCTCCTTATATGGTACTGGAGCAGCCGCTAAAGTTAGAGAGAGAGTTTTGCTAAAAGCTCTTTCCATTCTGGTGTTAGAAAGGAAAAAGGAGAATTGGCAATTGGGAAATTCAAGTGCAACTGCTTTCTCCGCTTGGTTCAGTAGAGGCAGAGTTGCTTGCTGGCATTCAGAACTCACTCTCTATTCTCCAAATAGTTTTGAAAAATAACAGGGTTCAGAAGGATGCCAAGGTGGGCTAAGTGGAGAAACGTGAATGTAGTGGGTAGGGTGCGTGAGAAAGTCTGTTACTAGAAATGGATTTACCCTGATCTTGCAAGCTGCTCTGCAAGGGGGGATTCCTGCCCTGCAGGAAATCAATGGGGTCTGTGGGATGGAAGGGACAACCCAGCTTTTGGCATATTTTCCATACTCTATGGACCCCTGCAGGGGATCACCCTCACCCGGACTTCCTGGCCCTGTAGCGGGCATGGGCGTCCCATGGGACTGATGAAAGACTTGACTGACAGTCAAACTATTACTGTGTGGTTGATGCCTTAGGGTCCACCTGGCCAACTGAACTAGCTCTTGGAGACATCAAACCAATGGCCTCTTCAGAAATCAGTACTGGCATCTCTTCTTTTCAACCTGTACATTCATGAGACTGCCTGTGACCAGCTAACAAAAATTTGTTTATGCTGATGACTGTGTCTTTGCCACCCAAGATTATGATTTTTCAAGTGTGGAACTCATACTCGATGGTAACATCAGACCGATTAGGTTTAATGTCTGGCAAGTAAGTCAGACATATGACTTACTTGCCAGACTTTTCTGGCAATATGGTCCACCCTTTCAAAACCCTTTGACTTTTCTTGCCATAAAGAATAGTCAGCACAAGTACCAATCAATCACTACATCATCTCTGACATTACAGTCAGTCAACCAGAATTTAACTGCCCACACCATTATTGGTCACTTCTCAACCATTTTCAAACTGAACAGTCACCATGCCGCAGACCCATACCAGTGCAGCCTTTGCAATGACAGCAAATGCCCCTGTGGACAAGTTCAAACCATGTCCCACATTGTTGATTTGTGTCCATTTACAATGCTACCGAGTGGCCTTCAGGCTCTTCACACTGGTGATGACATAACCTTAAAATGGCTGAAACAATATACTGAAACAGCATATGCTAAATAAACATGGAAATTGCTTTACAAGCTGTATTTGAATCACACCAAGGACTTACCACAGATTATATCCAGGGCGCACAGAGTAATGTCTAGAAAGCAATCAAATGGTTCTTTGTCAACATGTTTTTTAAATTTCTCAACCAAAATATTGGCTTGTTCATTCATGACTTCTAGAAAATCAGTCAAGATTGTGAAGTGGAAGGTGGGTGTTATCATTTTTCTCCTGGTCCGCCATTTATCTCCAGTGCTACAAACCAAAGAAAATTAAGTATGACAAATTCATTTCACAAAAGAAACAAGAACATTTCCAGGAGAATATATACTCCTGGTATAACAACAGCTACAGCTAGTAACATGATTTTTAATGCTGAACTTTAAAAAGCTGCCAGTAGTTGAAGCATGTTCACTGCTGAGATGAATTCAGGCTGAGAATAAGCTAATTATATCCTGCCATTTGATACACATCAAGCCTATTCTGCACATCTACAAAGAGGCAGCATGGTCCAGCAGCAGGATGGGTAAAGAAAAATGGGTTTTGTTCACAACTCTGCCAGTTACATGTTATACAGCCTTGGAGAAGTTACTTCACCAACTGGTACATCTGTTTCCCAGTCTGTAAAATGGGAAATAAAATTTAGCCACCTTTTATAGACTCTTTCATATGAAAAATGAAATACATACAAGGTAAGTAATTACATTACACACAGGAACTGAAGTGGTACATTTGCTAACTACAAGAGTCTGCATTAAGTATTGTATGATGCAAGCATTCATCTGAAACCTCTAACCAATTACAGTGTCAGTTAACCAAGCCAATAATCAGAGCCAAACACACTTATGCTTTCAAATGCTTTTGCTGGCATATACTGTTCACATATGCAGTCATATTGACAAATTAAGTTGGATGTAGCACCAATCTACATCTGACTGATTTTAATGGAAATAACCAAATTTTGCTTGCAATGTTAATAGTATAATTCAACTTATGAAACAGTATATTAGAGGAGTAAGGGTGAAGTTACACCAGGGGCGGGGTATTATTTTGGGCAGAAGGCTGCTTACTGAGTTTTGGCAAGGCATCGAGGGTCGCATGACAGGCAGCCAGGAGTAGATAAATATTAACTTTCTACATTTTTAGGGGCCCGTAGGCTGGATAGAATGGCCTGGTGGGCCACATCTGGCCCACAGGCTGCATTTTGTCCACCGCTGAGTTACACGTTACACCCAGAGAGTACTGAATCTCTGGAATGTTAAGCAGCATTCAAGTTAGAATGTGCTGTGAGCAGTCTCATGTTAAGGGTTAATATTTCATAGATTTCATAGATTTCATAGACATCAGGGCTGGAAGGGACCTCGGAAGATCATCGAGTCCAGCCCCCCGCCCAAAGGGCAGGAAGTCAGCTGGGGTCATAGGATCCCAGCAAGATAAGCATCCAGTTTCATCTTGAAGGTGTTCAATGAAGGCGCTTGAACCACCTCCGGTGGCAGGCTGTTCCAGACCTTGGGGGCTCGGACAGTAAAGAAGTTCTTCCTTATGTCCAGCCTGAAATGATCTTGAAGTAGTTTGTGACCATTCGACCTCGTCATCCCTTGGGGCGCTCTGGAGAACAAACGTTCCCCCAGATACAGGTGGTCACCCCTGATAAACTTGTAGGTGGCCATCAGATCACCCCTGAGCCTGCGCTTTTTCAGGCGAAAGAGCCCCAGGGCTCTCAGCCTGTCATCGTAGGGTCTGCTTCCCTGACCTCTGATCATGCACGTGGCTCTTCTCTGGACTCTCTCAAGCTTCTCCACATCCTTTTTGAATTGTGGAGCCCAAAACTGGACACAGTACTCCAGCTGCGGCCTCACTAAGGCCGAGTACAGGGGGAGAATGACGTCCCGGGATTTGCTTGAGAAGCATCTATGGATGAAAGCCAGCGTTTTGGTCGCTTTACTAGCCGCCGCATCGCATTGCAGGCTCATGTTCATCTCGTGGTCAATGATGACCCCCAAGTCTCTTTCTTCCATAGTGCTAGCCAACATAGCACTGCCGAGCCCATAAGGATGCTGCGGGTTTTTTTTCCCAAGGTGGAGAACCTTGCATTTATCGGCGTTGAACACCATCAGATTCTCGTCCGCCCACTTGCTGAGCCTGTCCAGGTCAGCCTGGATAACCTGCCTGTCTTCTGGTGTGGATGCTTTGCCCCAAAGTTTGGTGTCATCGGCGAACTTGGCCAGTCCGCTTCTGACTCCAGTGTCCACATCATTAATGAAGATGTTGAACAGTATGGGTCCAAGGACAGAGCCTTGGGGGACCCCACTGGTCACAGGACACCACGATGAGTGACTTCCATCGATTACTACCCTCTGGGTCCGACCCCGGAGCCAATTTTCCAGCCAGCGGATCGTGGAGGACCCAAGGCGACAATTGGCCAGTTTCTCCAAGAGGCGATCATGGGACACCAGATCGAAGGCTTTTTTGAAGTCAAGATATATGACATCAATCTCTTCTCCCTTGTCCAGGTGATAGGTCACCTGGTCGTAGAAGGAAATGAGATTGGTCAAGCAAGACCTACCCGCAACAAACCCGTGCTGGCTATCCCTTAAGATGTTGGCGTCGGCCAGTCCATTAAGGATGGCCTCTTTAATAAACTTTTCTAAGATCTTCCCCGGGATAGAAGTCAGGCTGATGGGCCTATAGTTAGCCAGATCCACTTTCCTCCCTTTCTTGAAGATAGGCACCACATTGGCCTTCTTCCAGTCTTCGGGCACTACACCAGAGTGCCAAGAGTTTTCAAAAATCCGTGCTAGAGGCTGGGCTATGATGATTGCGAGCTCCTTGAGTACCCTGGGGTGAAGATTGTCAGGGCCAGCTGACTTGAAGGTATCCAGCTTCTCAAGATGTTCCTTCACAAAGTCAGCATTAATGGAGGGCAGGGGATCACCCTCACCCGGACTTCCTGGCCCTGTAGCGGGCATGGGCGTCCCATGGGACTGATGAAAGACTGACGCAAAGTACCTATTTAATAGGTTGGCTTTTTCCTGGGCGTCAGTTGTCAGTTGCCCCATCTGGTTCAGCGGGGGTCCAATGTTGCCCCTGCTTTTCCTCCGGCTCCCCACGTATCTGAAAAAGGACTTCTTATTGTCCTTGATGCTCAAAGCTAGCTGGAGTTCAGTTGCAGCCTTGGCTTTCCTGGTATGCTCCCTACAGGACCGGACCAGTGCAGAATAATCCTCCTTGGAGGTGACTCCCATCCTCCACCCTTTGTAGGCCTTTCTTTTTAGCCTCAGGAGATCTGCTAGGTCCCTGGAGAGCCAGGGGGGCTGCTGTGCCCTCTTGCTGCCTTTCCTCCGAGATGGAATAGACTTAGTCTGTGCATTGAGGATCGCTCCCTTGAGGAGCAACCACTCCTCTTGAACTCCCCTCTCCCTGTGGTCACGGTCCCTTAGGGCCTCACTGACAAGCCTCCTGAGCTTGTCAAAGTCGGCTTTCCTGAAGTCAAGGACTTGCGTGTTGCTGATATTGTTTCTTCCTGCACAGCTATGGCTTGCAGCTAGCACAGACGAGTAGGGGCACTGCTAGGAGCCAGGACACCTGGGCTCTAGCTCTACATGCTTCCCCACAGCTGTGTTCTGCTCTCCTAAAAATACTGGCAACTCTGCTTCCAGCATGCAGCTGCCCCACTCCCTGCTCTGGCGGCTCCATGCTGGGAGTCAGAGCTGCCATAGTTTAGCATGGTGGCAACACAGAGCCACAGGGAAGCATGCTTCCTCACTTCCTGCATCACGGGTGACTGGTGCCTCCTAAGTCTGGGGGGTGGGCACAATTTGTGGGCGAGTCCAAAGCCCCGTATCCATTCCTATACTTCTGTGCCATGGCTTAGTGCCCACCCCTCTCCCTCCGCCCTGAACATGCCACCAGCCCATGTGCCAAAAAAATTGCTCTGTTCTGAGCAGTGCCGAGTCGGGGACCAACCTCAGGCGGGGCACATGCGCCTCTGTGCCCCCCCTACCAGTTGCCTGTGCCCTCTAGCTCCATGCTCCAGAAGCTCCATGCTGGGAGCAGAGCCACTGGGATTTTGTCCAGTGGCAGCAGGAAGCTGAGTGGAAGAATGCTTCCCTGCTTTGCGCAGCAACTTGCTCCTGCTGCACTGAACCCCAAGGCTAGGGACAGACATTACACATAAGCCAGTTTAAGCGATCAGAAACTGGTTTAAACCTGCAACAGAACAGACATTCAATGCACATAAACCAGTTTCAAAATGGCTGAAACAGGTTTGAGATAAACCTGGTTGAATGTAGTATCAGACTTAACTGATTTGGCTCAAAGTGGTTTATGCAATGTCTGTCTCAGACCCCTTGCTGGTTTAGGTTAAACCAGAGTCCCCCAGCATCCCGGCATGCTCTCTGGGCTGGGGTCTCTGATCCAGCCCAGCCAGGCTGGTCCTGCTCCTCTGCTCCCCAGCCAGAGTAGGGACAGGCAGGGGTGGCAGTCTGCTCAGGGATCAGTTTAATTTCCTCCTCTCTATCCCACTGGCAGGGACCAGAGCAGGGTCTGCTGGGTGTTCTCCTCTCACTGCTGCGGTGCCAGTAGCCTTTCTGTGGCAAGCACCCTCCCAACAGAAAGGGGCTTGTTCAGCTGCTGACACTGCAGTGAGGTCTGCCTGGCACAACTGCCACCCCTCTGTGCTCAGGGCCAGCCCCCTCCTGGCCAAAAGGGGCTTATTTAGCTGCTGGCCCCGAGCCCAGGCTGAATGACGGCTGCAGCTGGACTGGGCAGATGCCAGCTGCTGCAGCCCCAGGGAGCGGGGCATGGCAAGATGCCGGTGGGCAGGGCCCCTTGGGATAGGGAGCAGGGACAGGGGTTATTCCTCCTCCCTCTGTTGTCCAGTGAAGGGGTCAGCAGGGGGCCTATTCCTGGGCACAGAGCACAGCAGCGAGGGCAGGCAGACCTGGCTGCCAGTGGGAGTAGAAGGGCGGCTAACTCTCCTCCCTGCCGCCTCTGCCTCAGGGGCCATGGTGCCCACTGCTGCAGCAGCAAGCAGAGAGCGTCCGTCACACCGCACTTGGGTCCCTGCTGGTGGGATAGAGAGGGAGGAATTAAACCCCGCTCTGGCCAGTTCAGCCCAGACTAGCCACACCCCCCAGCACAGCTTCCCAGGATGGGAATGTGGGGTGCAGCGGGAAGCCAAAGCCCCTAGTAAGCTGCCTGGGCAGGGGAGAGGTGGTAGCACTTGTGGGAAATGGACTAGGCCAGTGTTTCTCAACCACTGGGATTTGTCCTACTGGTGGGACTCAAAAGTTGTGTAGGTGGGACTTCAACTCATTGCCCAATTGAAAAAAATAAATTTTTTGCACTTCAAATAGATGGATCAAGAGATATCTCAAACAGTGCAATTTTGTGGGGTTTTGTTTTTATCATGGTGGGACCAAGGTTTTTTGACAAAATAGTACATGGGATGTAAGGTGCAAAAGGTTGAGAACCGCTAGACTAGCAGCGTGAGAAAATTTCAATTAACTTCAGGTAACCAAGGTAATTGAACTTGTCTGCAGCATCTGTTCAGCTCCAGGTAAAAAGCATGGCCCTCTTCTGGGAAGGCCAGTGGGGTTGAGATCAGGTTGGCAGTGGTTGGTGGAAAGCTTCCTGAAGCATTGCTCTCTCTCCCCATCCCTGGCCCCAGGTCAGGACCACAGGGGCCTGCAAAGGGAAGTCACAATGCTCATGCCTCTCCACCTCCCAGCAAAATGTTCCCTGCCACTGCAATTCCCAACATGGCATGGGCACTGCCCCACCTGCTCCTGGTCAGTACCACCTCCTGCACAGTAGAGTTTGGGAGGGTGGAAAGTTCATCCACGGAGCAGAAGTTGGGGGAGCAGGGGGAACAGTACATCCTGGGATGCTAGAGAGCTGCAAATGGCTTGTTTTATCTTCATGGAGCAGCCTGAAATTAACCTAACACGAGCTAGGTAGCACAGCCCAGGGTTCAACCTTGCCTGAAGTGGCATAACTTTGAGACACTCAGAGAGCATTTAACATGAGTTAATGAGCTTTAACATGTGGATGCTTTTATTTTAAGTGCCCTTTGTATGAGGCAGGGGTAGGCAAAATGTGGCCTGCAAACTGGATCTGGCCCACAGAGGAACTCTGTCTGGCCCATGCCAAGTCCCTCAGTCCCACCTGGCCCAGCTGCCACCTGGCCCAGCTGCCATCTGGCTCGGGCACACAGCGGGACTAGGGCAGCTCCACAGCTGGACTCCAGTTCTAGGCAGTGGCTTCTTCTGGCTGCCACTGGCCCCAGCGCCATGGATACTGGCAGGGACCCAAGTGCACAGCCACGGCCCCAGCTGGCCCTGCACCCACTCTGGACTCACTGCAGCTGGTGCGGACCAGCTGGGACCTATGTGCACAGCCCTAACCCCAGCCTGCCCCGTGCCTGCTTCAGACCACCTGTCCACAATAAGCGGTGGTGGCATCAGTGGCAGCTGGGCAGGAGTTGCTGCATGGCATGGAGAAAAGGTGGGTGCCCCCCCCTCACTGCTGCCAGGCCTTTCTTGCTGAGGCTGCCCAGAACCTGCACCCAGGCTGCCCTGTGGCTCCTTTCCATTGCCACCACTGCCCTGCTGGGCTGACCAGAAGCGACATTAGTGGTGGTAGTTATGGCAGTCGAGAGGAGTTGCAGGGCAGCCCAAGCATGGGCTCTGGGTGGTTGCAGCAAGAGGGGCCCAGCAGCGGCAAGCAGGGGATAGCCACTTTTCTTCTGCACCCAGCAACAGCTTTTGCCCAGCTGCCGCTACTGCCACTGCTGCTCATAGTGGGCGGGTGTTCCACAGTAGGTATGGGGCAGGGTTGGGGCAGTACACCTAGGTCCTGGAGGGTCCAAAGATGGCCCGCTCTGGCTGGGGTGAGTCTGGAGTGGATGCGGAGGATGCCAGGGCTGGACCCATGTGCTCAGTTACTGCTGGGTGCTAGTGGCAGTGGTGGGGAGGAGCCACAGGGCATATGGGCTCTGGGCTGTTGTGGTCATGCTGACCGGCCTGTGACAGCTCCCCAAAATTGCCTGTGTGGCCTTGGGCCCAAATCATTGCTCACCCCTGGTATAAGGGTAACATGGAACTTCACCCTAGGACTGTACCGCCCATTAGATTAGACAGACAGAACCAAATCTTCCTATCAATTAGCAAAAAACAGGAAACATAGTCTGTACAGGCATATTCTGGACGTGAACTCCCACTGACACAATGTACAAAAAAGCATTGCTTGGAGTCTTTCTGGTAGTTTACACTGTCATATGTCTTGGGATGGTCTATTCTAATGGATCCGTTTTAAATGTCTTTGGCTCCCACTGAAGGGTGTAGAAATGAGTACAGCCACATATGACACAGACCCAGGAGGATACAAATGTCATTTGTGAGGAAATACTACTTTAGTCTGTGGCGTTATAATTGACTGATTTGTCTTTGGTTGAAAAGTTAAAACAGTTAATCTGTTTTGAAAAAAGAATGGAGTTCTATGTTTGCAAGGGCGGTCTTGTAAAATACTGCTCACATTTATTACATAACATGATCCATTCAAGAATTGTGGGGTTTTTTACCTCTCCAAAGTGACAGGCACACCCTATATTATGACACTACAGGCTATTCTTTGGGAATTTGTGATCAGTTTCTGTTGCCTTTGTGGTGTTTCTTTACCTTCAGGGTTGTCTGTTTCATATAAAACATACAATTGCAATAACGTAAGATGCAAGATGTAGTGATTCTAGAGCAGAAATCTTCCTGCTAACACCAGAACTACCTAAAGCAGTTACTTATTAGCCTGTCCAGCCATTGGTTTTCACCACGAGTGCCAACAGACTTGCAGCATCCCAGTCTAACTAACTCATGGCGCTTCACAGAAAGTGCCATGAGTTAGCCCGACCCTACCAACCAAGCAGATGTTCACTGTTGGATTGGGAGGATGGAGGATCAAGCTCCACTTTGGAGCTGATCTAACAAAAGAGGCTGCATGTCTGCAGCCTCTTCCCTTATCCTCTCCCAGCTAGAGTGCTGTTACAGGTTGGGAAGGGGGAAGGTAGGGAAGGGGTTCCCTTCTGGGGTTTATCCAGCACATACTGGAGTGGAGCAATGGGTGAACTGGAGCACCCTCACCTTAGGAGGCTCCAATCCACCTGCTCTACCTTCCAGTGGAGGCTGGGCAACCCCCAGACAGAACCCCTCCCGCTCCTTCTCCCCCTCCCATCCAGAAGTACATTACACTGCTTATTTTCAGAAGAAATATAATCTATTATACTCTTAAAGCAACCAAGATATATTCCATCTTAAACCTTAACGTAAAACCATACATAAATGTAATGGATTAGGTCTGTATTTGCATACTATTATACCTTGTCAGGAGTCCTGTGCCAAGCCATGGATGTACAAATGTGTATAAAGAGGATTTATCTATAAGCTTTGAACTGCTCAGAATAACCTATCAATAAAAGAAAAGATGGATGAATAATGCTGCTTTAGAAAATCAGTTACAATAATGGCTTATCATGCTATTGTTTCCTCCTTTGCACCTGTTATTTCTCTGTATCCTTCTGTTGCTTGTATTAAATTGTGAGCTCTGTAGGAAAGGAACCATCTTTCTGTTCTGTTTTTTTACAGTTTACAGCACAATGCAGTATAGCACTTAGTTCATTATGAATACTCTAGGATACCATGATAAAAAGTAACAAATACTAATAACTAAAAAACACCTACCTGCAAAAATGTGTTCAAAGCCATAACTGTTCTTGCATAAATTTGAAGACTCATTTACAATAAGAAATAACTTTACATAGCTCAGGCAATAGTACCAAGTCATTGAAACGGGTCATGTGCCAGACTCATAAAAAGGCAGATAGGCATTGTGGCGGTTCATGCCTGAGGGGTGGCTGTGATGCCCCCTGGTGGCCATGTGACTCCTGCCTGGCTCAGTCTCTATTACAGCCTTCCCTCGATTGCTCACTTGCCGTGCCTTGTTCTTACTAGAGGTTGAATAAGGGAAGCTGCCCACAGGCCTTAAAGTGAGTCTTAGTCTATTTGCGGCACCACCAGGTCTCTCCCAGACCCCCAGTAGCCTTGTTTCAACCTTTAAGCTCAATGGGCCTTTCTCAGCTCGTCTGTGCCCCTGCGGCGTACCTGTAGCTTCGAGGGCTACTTGCATATCTGTGCACCTCCAGCGCACCTATAACCTTAAGGGCTCAATGCATGGCTCTGTTCCACGCCCAAAGCCTCGTGGGTGTTCTCTCTCTTTGACCAAAGCCTTGTGGATGTTCTCTCTCTTTGATGTTGCTTATTTATACACTTGATCCCTTAGGCCCTTGGACCCCTTGGTCCCTTATGCAATCTCCCTCTGGACTCCTGGCCTTCTGGTGCCACAGGCAGCCTCTCCTCTGGGCTCCCAGGCCCCATGGTCCAGCTCTCAGCCCTTCTCTGGGCACAGGAAACCCTCTAGCTTAGGCCCCCTGGATTTGTGGACTCTCTGGCCCAGCTAGCCCTTCCCTGGGCATGTGGACCCTCTGATCTGGGTTCAGCCTTTCCCTAGGCTCCCGGGCCTCTGACTGGGCCCCACTATTAGTCTGGGAATTCCTGGGTTACCAGTTCTTCAAGTAGGCCTTGACCCTGCCACATCAGGGCTCGAGGCTAAACCACCTGTGCCACTTAAATAAAAAAGAAGCATCTCAGGCCTCTGACAGACATGTCAAACCCTCTCTGGGTTTAGCATACAACAAAGGCCACTTGACTGTAAAACCCATTCTTTCTTGTCCAGGGGACTTGTCTCTGTTCCCAGGCCTGTAGAGTTGTTGACATAAATCCAAATCCCTTCAGGAGCCCAGCTGCTCTGAAGCCAGGACCACCTCACTTCATGGCTGCCAGGGAGAGACCACCTGACCATTTTAGGCTCTTGGTTTATATAGCTCAAGCCTGAGCCCTCTCTTGGCCAGGTGAGTCTTTCATTAGCCCCCTATATGCAGCCTCCCAAACCACTTGCTCCCTAAAGGAGAAAGCATATCATGCCTTGCTACAGGCATCCTACCAGAAAAGAGTCTATTTCCCAGGCTCTTAATTGGCTTATGGATAAAAAAAGTGAGCAAGAGAGGGTATAAATGGTCAGTTTTCATAACTGAAAGTAGAAATAGTAGAGCCCCCCAGGGATATATGCTGGGATTGGTGCTGCTTAGTATTTTCATAAATGACACAGAAAAGGGAGTGAATAGTGGGGTGATCAAATTTGTGGACATCACAAAATTATTTGGAGCAGTGAAAACCAATGCAGGGCATGAAGAACTACAGAAGGACCTTGCAAAATTGAGTGCATGGGCAAAAAATGGCAAATGAAATTCAGTGTTGATAAATGCAAAGTGATGCACATGGGAAAGAGTAACCCAAAATATACATGCACAGTGAAAGGCATGTATATTTCATGAACTGTTACCACACTGGGAAGAGATCTTAGAATCATTGTAGACACTTTGCTAAAAACATCACCTCAATGTTCAGCAGCAGTCAGAAAGGAAAATAACATATTGGTAATTAAGGATATTATGAACAAAATAAAAAGTACTGTTATGCCCTTTTATAAATCTATGGTGCAGCCATAGCTTGAATACTGTGTACAGTTTTGGTCCTCATACCTCAAAAGAAAAACTAGAAAAAGGTACAAAGAAAAAAAGAAGAAAGGTACAAAAACTAGAAAAGATACAAAGAAAGGCAACAAGGATTAGCAGGGGTATGGAGAGGTTTCCATAAAAAGAGAGACTAAATAGTCTAGGATTTTTTTTTCACTTGGAAAAAGACACTTGAGGGGGAACATGAGAGATGTTGTGCAAAATATTACATGGTGCAGAAAAAGTAAATAGAAACGCATTATTTATGATTTCCCAAAATACGAGAACTAGAGGAACTATTGCGTAAGAGGTTTAAAACAAGAGGAAGTTATTTTTCTTAAAGTGTGTAATTGTGGAACTCATTGCCACATGATGTTGTGGAGCCTGATTGCCTATCCCAGTTCAAATGAGGATTAGACAGATTCATGGAGGTACTGAGCATGGTACAGAGGGGTGTTGTCTCAAAATCTGAATATCCTAAACCTCTGATTGTTAAAAGATGCAATGGGATAGGAGCAGGGGTACAAGATTCTGGGCACATCCTGTTAACCCTACCCCCTCAGCGTTCACCCCCTGCTAGTATATAAAACAGGATACTGCTCTAGATGGACATATAGTCTGGCCCAGTAAATAGCAATTCTTATGTTCCAGTATAACTGACTGGAAAAATTGAGGGAACCACTTTGCATCAAAATCAAAATGCTTTGTATAACTATGTCAGTTTATGGGATTTTTATAACAAGCAGATAGTTACAATTATCAAAAATGTCTTGTTTTGGTGTTTCTTAAATAAAATAATCATCTCAATGTTGAACCACAGAAATATTTTTAATCAACATGAAGAAACAAAAACTGGAATGCCACATGTACTTCCAAATTAAGATGAGACTGCATGCTATTCCACATGCTGCAACTCTGCACTGAGAACACTCAAGGGAATAATGCCTGAATTTTCCCAATGAAAAGTATTGTGCTTTCCTCCCTTACCTGAATTTTCCCTTGGAAGGCAAAAGTGGCACACATACAGTACCTTTGCTCTCCAGTACACAGAGCTGAAGTGTACCCACCCAAAGGCAGACTGCTGCAGAGAGTGAGCTCTTTCCCCAAGAAATATTGATCACTGTTATCAGCGCTGTATGGACAAACATTATCTATGTTTACTGTACAGTCTTCACATTTTAAGTCAAAGAATAACTGTCATGGTTAATAAGATGGCTGAATGTGCCCATATTTTCTGATTCAAACAAAGAGAAACAAGGAGTGTTCAGAAAAGTAAAATAAGATTATTACAAATTACAGTTTATATTTTACAGAGTACTGATGATCTATTAATATGCACAAATAACCACAGAGGTCAACAGCAGAACTTAATACACACACATGGGGAAATGAAATAAATAAGGCACTCATTATTAAATAAATAAAAAAATATAATGAAAGGCAGGTCTTATAATTTAATACTGGCTATTTGGTCTTTACTTTGGGCCCTCAGCCCTAATGGTTCATAGACTGTTGCTCCTGAACTGTGAAAGAGTATCAGTTCAAATATTTTATATCCCTATGGTAGATATTACATTGAGGAAATGTAAAATGTGTTTTATGCTCCAAATACATGAATAGCACAATCAGGTATCTAGAAAATGAGCTAGGCATATTTACCTCCACAGTGTCAGAGTGATACAGTAACAAATGAGGCAATGGTCCTATCCACATTTTTAACAGTGAGCGATTCCTGAATTCTTCAGAATATTGGAACATTTGTTTAAAAAAACCTGAAAAGAAAAAGCTGGTTGAAGAACACCAAAGATGCCTTCTTCTGTAATACCTAATAATAAGTTCACTAGAGCTTAAGTTTTCTTACTTTGACAAAGCAGGTTTGTTTTGCACATATTTATTGTTTTCATTATGATACACTTACAGATCATCACGGGTCCAGGTTTGCTGTTCATGACAGAAAAACAGAGTAAAACCCAGATTTTCTAATTTAAAGGAGGAAAAACCTGGATTTTCTCCCTTAAAAGGAGAAAAATGTGGGAAACAGTGGATTTCCCCTTGCAGGTTGGCAGAGTTCCAGCCTGCAAGGGGCTGGGGGAGCAAGAGGAGGGAGGTCAGGCAAAGGGTGCTACATGCAAGTGCGCATGTACACGTGCACAGGGCCATTAGGCAGCCTTGGAGAGAATCCCCTGCAGGTAAGTTGACAGGGTGGGGTGGGGAATTGAGGCCGCCTCTGGTGGGGGAAGGAGGGAAGGAGTTGGGCAGGGCTGAGGCTGGGCCTGCTTCCCAGCTGGGGTAGGCCTTGGGATACAGGGCCATGTGCAGCCACAGGGCCATGGGTGGCTCATATGGGGGATGGGGCTAGCTCCTGGCTGCTAAGCACAATCCTGGGGGAGCATGAGGGGCATGTGCCCCTCAGATTTATACGTGCGCAGGCATGGGCTACCCGCTGTGGACTCAGGGCTCCCTGCCCTGCTGCCCTTGCCTCAGGGCCTCTGCAGCCCAGCAGGCGGGACCTGGCGCAGCAGGGCAAAGCAGGACTGGACGGGGAAGCCCAATACCACCGTGAACCCCGCACTGCCATGGTGAGGTGTCCCCTGCCTGCCCAGCAGCAGTGGGGGTGGTGGCACAGAGTTGTGCTCCTTGCTGCTGCCAGGCAGGCAGTGGGCACCTTGACATGGCAGTGCAGGGCTCCTAGTGGCTGTATGAGCCTCCCTGCCAGGGAGAGGGAAGCAGGGTGGGGAGCCCAAGCTCCCAGCTTGCAGCCCACATCCGCCCCACTACAGGCTCTGCTCCAGCTGTGCCATCCATGGGGGAAGGGGAGCCGGGCCCCATGCTCCCCTCTGCCGCAGCAGCTGCTGCCTCCTATGGGTGGCAGTCGGGGCTCAGGCACTGCTGTGCGGGCTCAGGGGGCTGTGGACCTGGGTCCCTGGCCCTGTAGCCCTGGTAGCTTGGGGCCCACTCCAGCAGGGCTGGGGGGGGGCAGGGGGCACCGGCATAGACAGGGCACTGGCATTTCAGGGCTGCTCAGCACCACAAAGCAGTGGGGGGACAGCTGCAGCTGGACCTATGTTCTGGTGTGCAAAGGGGGCAGGGAGAGCTCTGATTTTCCATGATAAAAAACCCAAAATCAAATGCCAAAATTTACGGGTGTTTAGAATTTATTTTATTGTAGTGATTGAGGCACTGGTAGACTTCCAAATTGCTTTAAATTCTACGTATATCAATAAAACACTGTGTTCAACAGATACCTATATATATATAGCGGCGTTTCATTTTAATCATGGAAAAATGAGGATTAAATAATAGAATTTGCCATTTTTAAACAGAGAAAACCAGGATCCCTGCAGATCATCTACACTGCTGTTCAGTGAAGAAATACCCAAGCTCTCTCTAAACAAGCTATCTTGGGTACTAAAAGCAGTTTAGTTGCAGTAGCATGGAGATCTGTGCATACTTACCCTTACTGAAAATTATATTACTACAAGAATTTCTGAAGAAAAATCAAAAACTTATTTAAAGACCCAAGAACCTGAAAACCCTCTTTAGCACTGATTAAACAAGAGGAAACTTATGGTCACTTGGCTGAAAATATAATTCTGGTTGAAAGACATTCATTTGTTTTTCAAAGAAATTATGGGAACATTTTCCATCTGAGACCTTCATGCAGTATTCCAGGGGGTCCCAAACTGTGGTACGCATACTCCTAGGGGTACACAAGACATCTTTGCGGGGTATATGCGAGAGATTATGTAATGGCAGATTTAATTTTTATTATAATAATAAGTGGCATTTAAGGAGTTAAAATATAAAACGATGCTGGTAGGGGTACGCGGGTTGGTGGTAAATCTGGAAGAGGGTATGCAATAGGAAAAAGTTAGGGAACCTCTGCACTATCCCATGCCATGATCTTTATACATGGCTTAAGTAACATAATGACCCCCTGCCATAATTCCTGAATGGCACGAAATTGCATATAGATTGTAAATAGGGTTGACACCGACTGTTTCTATACAATAGTCTCAATTTGGTGACAGAAAAACTAGAGGGAACCTCAAAAACTGTGTAGAGCTATGCAGCATATTATAAAGGGCACAAGGAAAATCTTCACATCCACTTTGGATAACCACCTCTGTCCTCATTTGATAATTATATATATATATATATATTGATATTATCATCACATAATCTATACATTAATGCCGTGTTTGGACTTCATCTGAGAAGGCGGCATATATTGCTTCAAAACATACTGATTTAGTACTTATCCGCCTTTTTTAGTTCTTTTCTTAATTACTTTTTTCAACAAGCTTGTCAGATTGGTCCTAAAATAATCATTCTTTCCCCCTCCCAGCAAGGCCCCTGCCATTACCCAGACACGGCCTTCTCTTGGGATGGAAAGGGTCCCACTCAAAGTGAATGCGAGTTATTAAGGATGTAGCAAGTTCCCTTGTCAGAGAGGCTCTTCAGGGTGTTTTTAAGCCTTCCCAGAGGCATTGGGTTGGTTACAACCCAGGCTGGAGGTTTTGACTGGTGTGTGCCAGTGCTCCTGCTGGGAAGTTCCCAACTAGAGGGTCTTAATCTTCTGCTCAGGGTCAGACTAATTGTCAGAGTTTGGGTCAGGAAGGAATTTTACCCCACAGACTGGTACGGACTGTGGGAGCCTTCCTCTGTAGTGGGGGGCACAGCCCTCTGAGTACCAGGGACCTCTTGAGTGTACAGGAAGTCCTCAGACTTCGGACGCAATTGGTTCCTGAAAACCGGATCTTAAGTTGAAACGTCCTAAATCAGAACCAGCGTTATAAATCGGGGATTGGTTCCTTTATGACGCTCGATACAGCTGCATCCAGCTGGTAAGTC